GCCTGTCCTGCTCCCCACTCTGTTTCTGGTGAATCCCCTTACCAACTCTGCACTTCTGGCCTGTACCCCATTTCTGTATGAATAAATAAAATCTTCGGGAAAAAAAAAAAAAAACACTTTCCAATAAACCACACTCTTTTCAGGCATGCTGCTTTTAGGATTAGGGCAAAGAAATTGAAGAACAGGGAATATCTTGCATGAGAAAGTAAGGAAGGGACAAGAGAATGTGATGCATCAGTTAATGAAAATAGTGATTCAGCAATGGATTCTTAGCTATGACACCAAAAGCATTAACAGCAACAAAATAAACAAAAAATTTGGACTTCATCAAAATTGAAAATTTGGTACAAACAATTATCAATAAAGTAACACTGAGTGGGAGAAAATATTTACAAATTATACCTGGTATGGGCTTAGTATCCAAAATATATAAGGAACTGTTAAAATTCAAGAACAAAAATTGACGGCTTGCAATTCAATTTAAAAAATGGGGGGAGCTAGACATAGTAGTGGTATTTAGGGAAACGAATTTAAAAAATAAAATATAAATTCAAATGGGCAACAATATAAATAGCCATTTCTCCAAAGAAGATATACAAATGCCCAAGAGCCACATGAAATGCTGCTCATCATCACTAGTTAACGAAGAAATGCAAAACCACAGATACCACTTCGCACTTAAAAAATGGTAATACCAACAACAACAGGAATATAATTAAGTGTTGCCTAAGGACAGGGGAGAAAGGGTAGCCTCACTTATAAGAGGTGGTAATGTAAAATGGTACAGCCCCATGGAAAGCAATTGGGTGGTTCCTCAAAAAGTTAAACAGAATTACAATGAAAACAGGGACTGCAGGCCAATGTTCACTGCAGCATTATTCACAATACCAAAAGGTGAAAACAACCCAAATATCTATTAGAGGATGAGTGAATAAACAAAATAACATACAAAGGTTATTTATTCATGAAAAGGATGAACCTCAGTAACATGCTAAATGAAAGAAACCACACTCAAGGGCATCACCCTGGCATTCAGCATGACTGCACTTGAGTGAATTACAAAGAACAGGCAAAATCATAAAGGCAGACAGGACAATGAAGGCTGGCAGAGGTCAGAGATAACGAGGAATCACTGTTGAGCAAGTAGTTTGGGGTGATGAAAAAAGTTTTGGAAATAGTGGTGGTGGTAGCACAACATTATAAATATAATTAAGTGTAATGAATTCTACACTTAAAAGTGGTTACAATGGTGTCTTTATATTACATGTAATCTACCACAAAAATTTTATTTTTTAAATCATAGATGTGAACCTGTCAGGACTCCCAGGGGCCAAATTTAACAAGCCTTGCAATTGTGATGACAGTTATAGATTACAATACACGAACAAATTTATAGTTCTTTTTTTTTTTTTAAAGGGTGGTAGAGAGAAAAGAAAGATCTTCCTCACAATAGAATGCCTACATAATAAAGGGAGAACAGCAGATTGCACAATCACCCATACTAACAATTCAGGCAAGAAACATCAATGGATGCTGAAACTAGTAGGTGAAGGTAGGATAAAACGGAACCAGTCAACATGTGCTAACTAACAGGACACAACAAAACAAAAACTCACAGCTGTATTTCAGGAACTGTCCCAATAAAAATGTATAATCTGCTCTCATAATAAAAAAACATTAGACAGAGTTAAATCCTAAATTTAGAAAGATTCTACAAATGCCTGTCCTGTATTCATGTTACAAAAAACATGGCCCATGAAAAGTTATGGAAAGACTGAGGAACTATTAACAGATTTTAAAGAAACTGACAAAAATAGGACTTATGAGCACCAATTAGATCTTTTTTGTTATAAAACACATTATTGGAGACACTAATGGGGTCTTTGGTGACAGAAAACAGTTCTTTGAATTATTCTTGTAACTTTTCTATAAATACAAAAATTGTTTCAAAAAATGTTCTAATATTCTCTTCCCACATTCAAAGAATTACTGGGTCCACACCTCTGGGGGAAAAAAAAAAGACTAGAATGATTTTCTTAACTGCTCAGAAACTATTCACTTTGCTTGGTTCATAAGTGCAGTGGTTTATTTTTCCCAAAACAATAATTTTCTATTATATTCTATTCTTTGAGGTAGGAATTTATCTGAAAGCCAGGCTATCAGGAAAGAACAGCCAAAAAAATGTTGGTTAGCAAAAGTTTTACCTTTGTGATAGCGTAAAACCTGAGATGTTACTGAAGATACCCAAAAACCAAGTAGAAGAAATTGTAGAGAGAGAAGCTCTTTCTACTCCAGTGCCTTGTTTAACCTTCATAAAAATATGGCATTTCTATGTTTACTATCAAAATTCATATTAAAACTTAAGTTTCATGAAAACAGAAATTTCTTTATTCCAAGAAGCTAGACGAGTAACTGACATATACCGGACACATAATAAATACAAACCAAGCCATACTGAATGTTGTACCTTGAAAACAGATTAATCTTGCTAACCACGTTATGGTTAAGAAAACTGATCTCGATGAATTTCAAACAGTAGAATAGGAGTACAAGCAACATTCTCTGATCACAGAATAACTGCAATATATTATGCCAGAATTGGTATAAAATTGCTATACAGCAGAATCTATAGGATCGTTACAGCAGTTCTCAAAATCTCAACACTTGCCTTATATTAACAACTGAGAAAAGAAAAATAAACTAAATATCCAAATGAAATGTTAAGATTTTTTTTGATGGAAAGAAAGGTGACACAGCTTTTTAGAGGCAAGCTGGAAATTGAGTCTATTGTTTGTCCCAGAAATTCCACTCTTAGCAATCTAGTCCATAGAGACTAAAATGCTGTTTCATAAAGACATTATGTACTAAGATTTACTATAGCACTGTTTTGCACTGGAAACAGAAAGACAATAACTAACTCAAGTGGTATATCCACATTGTGAAATATTAGCTGGCACTTAAAAAGATTCAACTAAACTCACACTTATATGGATAATTTATATGGACAAAGGAGAAAGGAAAGCCTCTTCAAAAAAACAATGCTGAGAAATCTCGATAGCCACCTGCAGAAAAATGAAACCAGACCACTCTCTCATACCATATACAAAATTTAACTGAAACGAAAGCCTACAATGTAAAATCAGAAACCATAAAATATATAGATGAAAATGTAAGTGAAACCCTCCATGGCACTGGATTCTGTGATGTCTATGGGACTTTGATGCCAACAGCAAGGGAAACAAAAGCAATAATAAACAAATAGGACTACATTAAACAAAAATCTTCTGCACAATGAAAGAAACTACTAATAAAATGACAAAGCACCCTACTAAGTGAAGATATTTGCTTATCACACATCTGACAAAGGGCTAATATCCAAGATCTAGAAAGAACTCCTACAACTCAACAAAAAGAAAATAAGGAACCCAATCAAAAACCGGCCACCAGAGGTAAACAGTCACTTCTCCAAAGAATAGATACAGACAACAGGCAGGTGAAGAAGTTTCAACACTTATCATCAGAAAAATTCAAAATCAAAACTACATGAAAACAGCACATTACTTAGAAGAGAAATGCAAACCACAAATGCGACTCACACTTGTTATAATGGCCTGTATTAAAAATAAATAAATATGGCCCTCCCTGGTGGCGCAGCAGGTTAAAGCACAACACTGAGAATCTTAGGCCACTTCCGCATGAGTTCGATTCCCACCTGCCCCGGAGGTGACCACATGGTGTGGCGGACCTCTCCTAACCCGACCACTGCTCCCCTCAGCAGTGTACTTCGTCGATCTGCCTGTTCTGTTCCCCACTGTCTCTGGTGAAGCTTCTCTCCGCCCCTGAGCCTCTGGCCTGTACCCCAGTTCTGTATGCACAAATAAATAAATCTTTAATAAATGAATGAATGAATGAATGTTGGCAAGAGTGTAGAGAAAAAAGGCTTGTACACACTGGTAAGAATGCAGAGTCACCCAGCCCATGTGGAAAACATGGAGATTCTGCAAAATATCAAAAATAGATCTACCACATGTATCCATTTATTCCACAACTAGGTATTTACACAAAGAATACCAATTCATTAATGTAAAGAGCATTATGAAGCTACCTTCAGCCATTGCAGCATGAGTTCAATCCCCAGTCAAGAAGCTGACCCACATGGTGTGGCAGACCTCTCCTGACCTGTACTGCTCCCCTAAGCAGTATATTTCAGTACATGTGCCTGTTATGCTCCCCACTCTGTCACTGATGAATCCTCACCCCCACACCTCTGGCCTTTACCCCAGCTCTATATGCATAAATACATCTTTTAAAAATAAATAAATAACTGGATATATGCACTCCTATGTTCACTGCAGCACTATTTACAACAGAGAAGTTGTAAAAAAAAAAAAACTGAAATGCCCATTGACAGAGTAGTCAATTAGTAAAATGTGTACAGAATAGAATATTACTCAGCTGTGTTTAAAAAAAAAAAGCTTTTGCCATTTGGGACAATATACATAGAAACGAGGAGACTGTGCTAGGTGAATACATCAGAAGGAGAAATAGAAACACCAAATGATTTACTCACATCTCACATGTGAGTGAATACAGAAAAGCAAAACAAAGGGACTAACAAAACTATACCAAAACAAACCCTAGAAATGACTGCAGAGTGGAGGTTACCAGAGGGGGTAAGTCTTTTGGGAGTGTAAAGAAAATGAGGATAGGTTTATGGTAAATGACTGTGGATGTGTTGCTGTGAATATGGCATGATGACACACATCTGCAGAGTGTGAACCATTTCCCCTAAGCCAAATAAACTGGGTTAAATCAATGTAACCACAACTAAAAAAAATTAAAGCTGGATAATGCCAAGAAAAATGATTCAAATAAAGTTAAGTCAAATAACTTGGAGAATTTCTCCTAAGTCACTTATGAAAGTACTCTGAGCCTAGATTTCAACAGTGGACATCACAGAGTACTGAGTATCAAAGTAGCTGCTACTTCCATTTTTGTACCTGTAATCAGGCTGACGGCTGACAGAATGATCATCTCTTGTCCACCTATAGCCGGATTCATCCTGTAACATAAAAAAAGCTACTTAGATATTTATTGATATTACTTTGGTCAAGCAAGATATAATCTGATAATACTAACAAAGTAATTTCTAAGACTAAATATTGGGCAAAAACAAAAACACCTCTCTATATTTCTCTGAATTTGAAAGGCAAAAAAAAAGGACAGGTATTTATTGTAGTAAATCATCCATTTCAACAACTAATTAACCTGTGTACTCTTTATTGCTATTATATAGCATTAAGTATTTCCTTTGTAGTCTAAAGAACTTTATTGTCAAAGACACATATCCCAATACCCCAAAAGCTGAGGCCTGTTTGGAAAACAAAGGCTAAATTTAAATTTAATGAAGCATAAACTTCTCAATCTTTCATTTTCTTCCCTTCCTCAAGGACTCTCACTAATATTCAGAGCCAAGCCCACAGAAGGGCTTGCTTGCTACGTTTGACTGACACCCAATTGCTTTTAAATTGCACATAGAACAATATAATACGTCAACTGCCAATAATCAGAAAGACCGACCCTATAAGCTGCATCTTCCTCCTTAGCATCTGTGCTCTGCAAGCTCATCGCTTTACTTGCCAACAAACAACAAAAAAAAAGCTTAATAGCTGTGGTAAGATACTGGAGAACTCTGCTTCATATAACTGAGCTTAAATAAAAGTCTGCTGTGAGAATCCTGAGGGCCTCATGTGGACTTGTCTGCAAAGAAGTTAAAAAGAAAATTACATAAATTGTGAACAAACACAATGCGTAACAATAATAGAAAACATGACTGCTGCTGAAACACTATCACGCTACAAGGTTTTAGAAAAAATCATGTTAGTCAAGATGCAAAACTAAATTGATCCAACAAATCCAAAACCTCCAGTCTACACTAAATTGCTACAGGGTATTCCTAAGCAACTATTTTTGCAAAGGCCAAATTGTTTCTACCTGAAGCTACCCTGCCTGACACTACCCAGTGAGACTAGCTCCAGTGGTGCAATGCAATGTTTCTAGAAGAGAGAGAATGCATGTTCACTTTCCAACATTGAACCTCTCTTCTCAATGCAAAACACTTAAAATTGTAAATAAAAAAAATCAACACTATGAGAAATAAAACTTTTAGCAATTCAAATTCTAAAAACCAATCCACGAAAGAAATGGTGAATAGTATTATTACCACTTCAGAAATGGCAAGAGCCTTTATGACCTAACAATATAAGAACTAGACTCCTTTACATTTCTAACCTCTATGAATCACCTTACCTCCATGTCTTCAAGTATAAAATCCAGAAATTTCAATGGTCAGTGTGAGGTCAAATTTGATTATAAACAAAGTGTGGATATGCACAGGCAATTATATTATAAGTTAGGAATGAAAAAAAAAAAAGAGAGAAAACACAGGAAAATGTTCTGGCAGAAGAATGCTGTAAACATGCCAGCTAGGCCAAAGGACTTACATCAAAAAATAATTTCAATCAAGCTCAATGGCCAATTAATGTAATATTAAATGCATACTTCTAGATTATTAAAGATGACCAAGAGACACAAAACACAAAAGTGATAGCAACTCACATTTTTAAAATGCTTACTACAGAAAGGGAAATGTATGAGCACTTTCTACAATGAGTTAATAAACTTTATTAATTACAACAAAAGGGAAAGTCTCAACAACCTTAGCCCAACCTCGCCCACAGCCATTTCACAGCGATAAAAACCAAACTGTAAGTGGGTCCTCCAGTAAGAGATGAATCCCACCTGCCCATCATTTATTGACTATCAAGGCAACAGGCAGATTACCTTGATAAGGTTCTACAAATCCTTGCCAACTGCGGGTATTAAAAAAAGCAGGCTAGTCAGAATTCATGTCATTTAGATGGAACTATCCAGAGTGCCTACCCACTCTGTCCAGCACACCAAGGCCTTGACTACCAGGTCCTGTCTGACAGCTCCAGCTGGCAATTCAATAGAGCATCAAGCAGGAAGTATTTATTCAACTGCCTTACTGGACAGTCACATAAATTTCAAAACTCACATGATTTTTAAACTTAGGAAAAGAACAATTAGTACATGGGGGAAATTTACATACTCCTCTGTGAGGTGGACCACTTCTTCGATCATGAGAAAAACTGCGGCCCTCGTCATAGTCTTGGTAATCAACATGACTGTAATATCTACTGTAGCTTCCTTCACCAGGTCTGTCTAGCAGTGGTGGTTTCTTTGGCACAATATTAACTACTCTATGGTAGCCATCCTAAAACAGACAAAAAGAAATATGTAAAAATCACTAACTTCTCTATTTGGCTTTGGAAAGGTTTTTTCAAAAGCACAGGAATTCTTATCCTTAACCAAATAAAGGTATAAACAAACAAAAATGCATTCATGAAATAACATAAATATAACTAATAATAAAGTCTTTATATGGATTAAAGGAAACAAAATTGTTCAACGAAATCAGATGTTTAACACGCAGCAATACAAAAAACCAGTAAGTAAATGAAAACTCACAATATTATTATTTTACTAAAAATAAACTACAGTAAGAATGTTACAGTGGTGCTACGCCTTAGTTGCTTAGGGATTTTAAAATTAAAACCAGTTAAGGGAATATATGTTTAGTCTACCATATTTGAAGTACATTATCCAAAAGAAATACACTTAAGCAACAGCAAACAGGAAGGTAATATGGAGCTAGAAAGATCAATGGGAAACATTTTGCTATTTCCCCAGCAGCGCTGGAGAGCCTTGATTTCACACAGGTTTGGAAGAAAAACCCAAAATAAAATTTTACACTAATTTCCAAAATAGTATGTTGTTAATATATTATAGTTTCAGAAAAAAGTCCTTTTTTGTAGGAACTGAAAAACCCAGCAGAGGAAGAATGCCTGTCTTAGATTAGTAGCTATTGTGAAAGAGCTGAACAAAACTGATGGTTAACAGTAAAAACTAGAAAGCAACAGAACAAATATAAATAATCTAGTCTTGAGCATTCATTGTATGTCTAACAACATCTGAGAAGATATATGTGAAAGAAATTGGAAACTTATCAAAGTATGAGACAGGATATCAATATGATGTTTAACTGATGTGACAAAATAAGATAAAGCACAACATTCAGGGCTAGCTACTTTACATCCTAGGTCTAATTTCATTATCTGTAAATCAATATTCCTACAAATACCTACCTGATATTATTGTTGCAAGGAATAAATGAAAAACAGAATGTAAAGCATTTAGCACAGTACCTACTATACATTAAGTGCTCAAAATGTTTGTTTTTTGATTACTTCTGCTATTTTAAGTGAAACACTAATTTCCTCAAAGGATCTATTTCCTTAAACAACTTCTTAATAGTAAACATAGCTACCAAATTTTATGTCCTATTCAAATTTTCTAATCAATAGGAAATTTGGCAAGTAGCTGGGAAAATTAAAGCATTAGTTAATATCTACTTAAGAACCAAGCTGATGTACTTATCCCTTGAGGATTTCCTGAAGTCCTTTCCTTATCAAATGCTTTTATTGACTCTTCTAAAAGCTATCTTTCTCAGATATCAACTAAATCTGTTTAAACACTATGCTCTCAAAAAATCTAGTATTGAAAGCCAGAAAGAAAACGAAAAACACAGGATAGTTTCACTCATAGCAGAAGCATAAAGGATGGGGGGGAGGGGGGAGAGATAATAATGAACAACTAAACAACTATAAGCCCGAGATATTTTATAGGAGTGGAGGGGGAATGGGGTCAAAAAAAAAGGGGGGGGGGAGGTAGGAGGTAATGCACTGGACTCTGTGATGGCACAGGGGTGACCTGCTGATGGGAAGGTCACTGGGATTACAACTGAGATGGGAAAATGCACAAAGTGATGTAAACATAAACTACCATAAAATTTTTTTGGATTTTAGTACTAAGCCAAAATTAACATTTCAAATTGTAAATTTCCATTCCATTATGTACTCATTTATTTATAAATGCATTTCAGGGATAGTGTGCAGATAAGCATGCATGTCTTAACACTTTGATGAATAAAGAGCTTATTACTTTACAAAGCAAACTGTTCTTTTGTTCAACTGCCCCAAACTACTACAGAATTGTATACAATGAAACTTTCAAAGAAGTAAAACTAAAATCACATTAAGTCACTAAATTTAATGAACTTTTTTTACTAAATATTAATAAAAACAAAGCTGTAATCAGCAAAAAGAATAAAAACCTAAACATAGTCTCTTGTATCTAACAATGAAGTTCAAATTGAGAAGTCCTTTATGTTCTCAGGAAGTGTTCAAATATAGTAAGTTATACTGTCTTCGCTTTGAGACATCTAATCTTAAAGAAAATTCCCTGGCTATTAAAAAAAAAACAAAGTTTAGGAAAGAAGATGCCTAGAGAGTTCATGTCTTATCTAGCTACATACCACTCAAGATTTTTCTTTTTTCCTAAAAATATAAATAAAAAGAAGTAACTTAAAAAGCACTCAAGGATTGTTTTCAGCTAACTTAAAAATAAACTCAATGAAGATGAAATATAATTTAAAAGTTCAGAACAGATCAACTCGTAAAACTGGAGCACACTTAAGTCATTGTCAGTTTTCTGTTCAATACAATTTCCCAAAAGTAAGTGTAAAATCAACTAAATTGTTCCTCCAAAGTTAGTAGTAAGGGCATTGGTCACTCTGAACAACTAAAAGTTACACAGCTCATTTAATGAGTTATACAACTCATTAAAAATATTTTAAGTCAAATTAATCATTTATTCTGAGAGAATGTAAAAAGCAAAAATTCACATAAAAACTTTAAAATTTTCTTGGCAATAAGCTATTAAAAAAAATAAAGTGCTAAAAAAATTTTTTTCTTAGAAAGCCATCTATGAAATCAACAGTCTTTTTGTCACGACCTTAGATGTGAAACAAGTTCTATGACAAGGCCCTCTGAGTTTCTGAAATAAAGCTGCTTGTGCTGATGAAAATCTGACCAATTAAATTAGTTTTAAAATTCTGAAATGTGCAAGTTTGTGGGTGGTAGTGTCATAAATACACAATTTCTTAACTTGCTTTAAATTTCAACTAATAAAATTCCCTATTATACAAGATGTTCTCATTTTATTACCAAAATGAAAAATAAAAGCACCAAATACAATGGTTTTGTTTGATTCAGCATACAAATCTATGACAAATTTTCCAGATTAATAGTCTCATTATTAACTGGGTAGGTTATAATGGTTACAAAATTATTTCTATAAAAACATTCATTTTCCATGCTTCCCTGCCAAGCTTTTAAACATCCCTATGTTTTAGAGATGCATACTGAAATATTTGCATTTGAAATATGTTAACTCAGATTTACTTCAAAACAGTCTATAAGGAGAAAATTGGTGGCAGCATAGACCAAACCCAACAGACCAGAGGAACTGGTAACCCCCATGGGGATGATTTGTCTATAGGCAGTGGATTATTTTTGTCTGCTTTTATAGACTTAACTATTACCCTCATAAAAAGTCAGAAGTAGGTCCTCCCTGGTGGCGCAGCGGGTTAAAGCACTGCACTGAGAAGCTAAAGCCACTTTCGCATGAGTTCGAATCCCGCCTGCCCCGGAGGAGACCACATGGCGTGGCAGACCTCTCCTGACCCGCCCGCTGCTCCCCTCAGCAGTGTGCTTCGTCGATCTGCCTGTTCTGCTCCCCGCTCTGTCTCTGGTGAAGCCTCTCACCGCCCCTGAGCCTCTGGCCTGTACCCCCGTTCTGTATGTACAAATAAATAAATCTTTAAAAAAAAAAAAAAAAGTCAGAAGTAACTAACCTAACAGCAAAGTAAGCACAATGGTGTGTGTAAATAGTCAATTTCATCAACTCCATTCCTTACTATGACAGTCTCTGGTGGTACAAACACAGGCACCATGGTCACTGTTCTACTCCCATACTCCCATCACCTGCAATGAGTCACAGACTAAGCACCACATATAATGTATCTTCTACTTTACTATATCTATTTTAAAATATTTTGGCATCACATGCTTTTTACAAGAAAAATACCATTACAAGCCACACCTAATGAAGATACAAGCTGGTAGTTTTGCTTTCATAAGTGTGAATTGTCCTCACCCTGATCCGTCTTTATTTTTTTTACATGGCTTTTAAAACTTACTGTTTTAACTCACTCACTGAGTTTTCAATGAAATACTGGTATTTCTGAGTCGTTCCAAAGACTTTCAGGAATAATGAATATTTTATACTGAAACTGCCCCAGAATGTTTAAGACATATTATGTTACAGAATGTAGCCAAGAGTTGATAAGATTTTTCTAGAATTAGTGACAACAAAAACATTGATAAGGTCTTCCAATTGTCAGGTCAGTCAAGAAAATACCTCTACACAAAGGAACATGAAGTGAAAACTCAGCTAACATTAAGATTTTACACTTTACATATGCAAGTTTCACATTTTAAAAAATGTATAATGATTTTAGTTCTTCTGACTATTGCAATTAAGCGAATGATACACTATTTATTTAATGAAAAGTGTACAATTGTCCACATTTTACTGTGAAATGCATCTAAAAAATGGATGAATAAAGGAATGATAGATTAATATCTGATAAGCCAAGTTTAGTAAAATGCAAATAGTTGACTCTAAATGGATGTTCACTATAAAATTCTTTCAGCTTTGTCAAACAAAAAACAGAAACACATGTCTTTTGCAGCAACTTGGATGGAATTGGAAAAGATCATGCTTAGTGAGATAAGCCAGAAAGAGAAAGAAAAGTAC